CCACCCAGGTGCCCCTATTTTGGCTTTCTTTAAATTCTCTCAGCAAATGTTTTGTGATTTTCAGTGTAGTGTTCTTGCACATCTTTTGTTGGTTTTGTCTTTATTATTGATGGTTTTCAATGCTTTTAGAAATGATACTGTTTTCTACTTGTGTTTCAACTTGTTTGCTGCAAGTATATAGAAATACGATTTATTTTTGCATATCGATTGAGTCTAATTACCTTGTTCAATTACTAATTAATTCCAAAATTTGTCTATAAATTCTTTTAGATTTTCTAAGTACACAATCAGCTGCAAATAATAGTGGTTCTATTTCTTCCCTATTAGGTTTATTTTAAAAATTGATTTTCTCACCTTATTGCATTGGCTAAAATTTCCAGTAAATGTTAAATAGAAATGGTGACAGTGCACATTTTATCTTATTCTCAAATTGAGTGAGAAAGTACTTAATATTTCACCTTTCAGTATGATGTTAGACGTAGTTGTTGCTTTTTAGCTTTTTGGATTTTTTTATGGTGTATACCCTTTATTAGATTAAGAAAGTTACTTTCTTCTTTTAGCTTTCTGAGAGTTAAAAAAATGAAAAGATGTTGAATTTTATCAAGTGCTTTTTCTGGATCTAGTGAAAGTATTATATGGTTTTCTTTAGTTTGTCAGTGTGGTGATAACACATTCCTTGAGTTTTAAATGTTAAAGAATTCTTCCATGCCCACATTAAGTCCTGCTTAGTCATAGTGTATTACCCTTTTTATCTATTGCTGGATTTGATTTGCTAATGTTCTGCAGGAACATATTTTTCCATCTGTGTCCATGAGAGATAGTGACCTGTGCTTTCATTTTTGTAGTGTCTTTCTCAGGTTTTTTGTATCAAGATTATGCTGTCCTACTCTAGCAAGTTGGCCTGTGTTCCTGTTTTCTCTTTCACTGACAGAATCTGTGTAAGATCGGCAATAGCCTTCCTTAAATGTATGTTTTAAAGAACTCACAAAGGAAGCATCTGGGCCTAGACTTTTCTGTTTGCTTGGTTTTTGTTTTTGTTTTTGTTTGTTTGGTTTTGTTAGGTGGGAAGGGCATCTTTCAATCTTTCAATTTTTTTTTTAAGATTTTATTTATTTATTTATTTGAGACAGAGAGAATGAGAGAGAGAGAGCACATGAGAGGGGGGAGGGTCAGAGGCAGAAGCAGGCTCCCTGCCGAGCAGGGAGCCCGATGTGGGACTCGATCCAGGGACTCCAGGATCATGACCTGAGCCGAAGGCAGTTGCTTAACCAACTGAGCCATCCAGGCGCCCAGGGCATCTTTCAATCTTGATGTTCATTCTCTTGTCGTATTTTTTTCCTTAGGATGTTTTCAATAGTCCAGAACAAGAAGATTTCCCATGAGGCTCTTTTGAATCACTTCAAGCAAAATAAGGTGGAGATAGCAAACGCGATAACAAAGCCATTTCCTTTCCTTGAAAGCCTCAGAGACCGCTCCTTTATCACGGAAAAAATCTATAAAGTACGTGAAGTTTATCATATCTTCCCATGATAACCCAGGCTCACACTAATTAAGTGTGGCAACCTGGATTCAAAATTTAGTGTATCGCTAACTGGCTGGTGGCCTTTCCATACTCTTCATGGAAAGACCTTTTTAAGTGAGCTAATCCTCCTATAAGGTTGAGGGTGACAGGACAGGCAGTCATTGCTAACGATGCTTCTGTCCTAATTGAAGCCCCTGTCTTCTGTGGGACATGTTGCAGTGAGGTGGATGGGAACAGTGATATGGCTGAATTGAAACTGATAGCTATTTATGCAAAACCTATAGCAATTTATACAATATAACAAAATTAAATAAAATTAAAATAATTAAGAGAATTGGGGCAGTATTACATTATAAAATCCACTATGTCAAATGAAATCCCCAGGGATTTTGTGCTATTATAAATCAATTTGTTCTGTAAGTCTATCTACACTGGGAAAGTGGAATGAATGTTCTAGGCAGTCACTTCCTAGTGATTAACTTTGAAACTATTTTAACTTTGAAACTATTATTTTATATTCTTTTCCCATTGCACTTTTTTTTTTTTTTTAAAGGATTCTGAAGAAGCCCATAGAAACTTGGTGCCGGTAGAGAAAGTGGTATATAATATTCTCTGCTACCTTGAGAAGACTTTTGATAGGTCACTCCTACAAGTCCTGTTCAGCAGGGTTCATCTGAAGGAGTATCCTGATTTAATTTATGTTCATAGAGTCTTCGAAAATGGTAATCAATACCCTTCCCTCCCTTTTGGGGTCCAGGTCTACTTCTCATTTATTCATTCACTCATTTCCTGGTTTAACAACTATTCATGAAATGTTTACCCTGTCCCAGGACCTGTGCTTGTCAGTGTGAATGAGTCACTGTTAATAAAAACCAACATGTTCTCTGGCCTCATCATCAAAATCATCAGTCAGATGATTACCCTGCTAGGGCCTCATGTAGGTTTAATTACAGCCCTTTTTCTTCTCCTGGAAATGTGTGATTTATTCTGTGTCACAGGGACCTGATAAAGAGGAAGTGTTCCTGGACAGGTTGTGACATTTTTCTAAGATGACCAGATTGTCACCGATTCCCACAGAAAACCTTATCTGAGACAGTCTGACAAAAAGTTAGTTCTCCAAACAAAAAATCGAGAAGTCACAAGAGCCCCCACCATCACCCGCCGCCCCCCAGCCTAGAAGGAGGGCCAGCGTGTGGAAAGGCATGGGAGTAAGGAAGGCTGCTTCTGATGTGATGGTCACAGACAAATTGTGCATTTCTGACACCCTAAACTGAGGAACTGGAATTTTATTTTCATAAAAACAGGGAAGTCACACCAATTCTTTTTTTTTTTTTTTAAGATTTTATTTATTTGACAGAGAGAGACACAGCGAGAGAGGGAACACAAGCAGGGGGAGTGGGAGAGGGAGAAGCAGGCTCCCCGCAGAGCAGGGAGCCCGATGCGGGACTCGATCCCAGGACTCTGGGATCATGACCTGAGCTGAAGGCAGTCGCTTAACCAACTGAGCCACCCAGGCGCCCCACACCAATTCTTAAGCAAGGGAAAAAGTCAAAAGAAGCGAAAATAAAGTAGGGAGTGTATTAATTTGTGAAAATAGTACATTGATTAAAATAAGAACAATATAATTTCTTTTTTTTTAAAGATTTATTTATTTTAGAGAGAGAAAGAGAGAGTGTGCAGGCGGGAGGAGTAGAGGGAGAGGGAGAGAGAAACTCAAGCAGACTCTGTGCTGAGCGAGGAGCCCGCTGCCGGGCTCGATCCCACCACCCCGAGATCACGACCTGAGCGGAAACCCGGAGTGAGACACTCCACCCACTGTGCCACACAGGCTTCCCTGAGCAATATAATTTCTATACTAATACCTGGGTTAGAGAAAGGAATAGAAAGAATCAAATATCTGGGCACAAATTTCAAGTCAATGATTTTTAAAAGCTTCATTGAGATAAATTTACATACCTTAGGTCAATATATTTGTAACCAGGATGTCCCGGGCCATGGGAACAGAGGGAATGGCGGTTACCTGTCCTGCCCACACCTCAGGGGCTCTGATTCTCTCCATGGACTGCAGCGAACCCCCCCTTCCAGGTTCAGTGTCCACATCACCTGTGTTAGGTTCTGGGGCTCCCCGAGCTGGGGTGACCTGCACCTACACTCACTGCCGCCCACCTGCCCCTGGGGAGATGGCAGCTGTCGCCTCCCAGACACTGTTGTTCATGGGAGCTGTGCGTCAGTGACCCAAAGCCAAGAATCTGGGGGCTGTGGCCTGGGGTGTGCACCCTCTCCTGCTGCTCAGTCCCTACCTTCATCGCATGCTCAGAGCCCCCTGAGCCCCCATGGGACCATATACATGCACACAGGCCCCCTTCACCTTTCCCTTTTTTCTCCTTGTATCTTCCACCTGGTTTTGCCACAGTCTGAGGCCAGGTCCTGGGATGACAAAGCACACCTGGCTCCCACTGTCCCATGCAACTCACCCCTGCGGGCCCAGCCCCAGGAGGAACTCCCTCCATGGGCCCTGGAGCAGCAGGTTCCCTACCTCCGTGGTGTCCCCTCCTCCCTGGACTCCCCGCAGATACCACCCTCCTCCCCCCTCCAGGCTTCATGGTTTATTTCCTTCCTCCCATGTGTGCTGGGTCACCTACAGGCAGGGGCGCTGGGCTGGTGTCCCTCCCTCCCCTGACTGGGTGAGGTCCTCCAGCACAGCTATCTGTGCTCCCTGCTCAGAGCTGCAGAGTGTCCCTCCTTTGTTCCTGGGATCTGGCCCCTGGGAGGTCTGTCTTGTTCCTCCAGGTGTCCTCTGCTTTGTCTCTTTGGGAAGCGCTCATCCTCCCTGCCCCAACCCTCCTCTGGTCTAGCAGCATCTTTAGAGCAGATGGGCTTTCTCTTTCATACCCATGGATCTCTCTGTGAGCCTAGCTCTTGTCCCGAAGAATTCCCTCTGTCCCTTTGTACGGTTCACAGAGACATTCCATTTAACAGAATTTATATTGAGATAAGCTTTCACTCCTCTCTGGCCATCTTGTTGGGTGATTAATTACTGTTTATAACTTTCCCACTGCTCCATAATCCTTAAACCCGACAGGCTCATCGCCTATAAGATTTGCTTGCCCGTGTTTTTCTCTTTGATGTCCCAGGGAAAGGAACAAATGACAGCAAGTTAGGAGCCACTGAGATGAACTGACCCAGGGTCCCGAAGTCCCTACTAAGTACCTGGATTCTTGGGCGGTCCAGAGGTTTAACTATGAGGTGGTGTCCCTGATTGTTTGCTTGCAACCACTAATTAATTTTTTTCTCTGTTCAGTAATTGAAGACAAGTATTTTCCCCAGAAAAGTGATAGCGAAGAGACACAAAAGACACTCAACACTGGGCCAAGCTGTGAACAAGGTAATTATGATAGAAAACAAACTTTGCTTCCTGGTTACAAAGAGGTCAGAACTCAGGAAGTTCAACTGTGATGCTCGAGAGGGAATCCAGGAGGACATGGGGCAGGTGGATGTGTGTGACTTTGTATTGATTCCAAAATGACATGACTCTGTTTGAATCCAAGACAAAAGGTGGCAAAGAGAGACTTTCTGCCCAATAACCTGGAGGCTGGAGTAAGAACCTAAGTGTGAATTATGAGTTTCCAGAGGTGACCTTCAGTGTGAAGCAGCTAAGGGCTAAGAACTCTGGGCCTGTGGTCAATATCAAAGAGGAGACCCTTGATAATGGCGGAAGGGACTGATTTCAATGTGGGGGATGTTGTTCAAGAGCCCAGACATTCAAGGAGAAAACCAGTCACACACAGAGAGAAAAGAGGAAGTGGTAGAGAGATGGAGGGGAGGATGTGGGTACTTTGAGAGAGAGAGAAGGAGGGAAATGAAAGGGAAGAAAGGGTTGAAAGACACAATAGAAATAGCTGCGTTATTAACATCTCACTGGTTGAACATTTGTGGGGGCAGTTGTAGGTTTAGTGCTCAAGCTGCCGTTGCTTTTATGCTTATTTTGCAGGTAAGGAAACTGAAATCTGGAGACAGTGTGTGTGTAGTTGGCCTGGGGTCAGATGAGCAAGGGTGAACCCAGGCATTCTGAACCCAGAACCTGTTTGTGTGTGTCTTAATGGAGGTAAAATTCACATAACATAAAATTAACCACTTTAAACAATTTAGTGGCATTTGGTGCATTCACAATGTGGTGCAACTATCACCTCTATCTGCTTTCAAAACGTATCAATCACCTCAAAAGGCAACCCCATTTCACTCCCCGCCCCCTCCTCCCACGGCCAGGAGCCACTGGTATAACTAAAAGGTGTATCTTTTCATTTCTGTGTGTTGAGTGGAGGAAATCAGAAAGTCGGAGAGAACAGGAACGGAGCCTGATGTGGAAGGTGGGAAGATGTAGAGGAAGAGAGCTGGGCAGGAAGGTGGAGGCAGCAGACCCTGAGCAGAGAGGGTGGCTGGAGGGAAGAAAGATGGAAACACAAGGACGTGGAAGACAATGGAATCCGGGATGCAGAAATATTTTCCTAGGATAGAAGCAGCAATGCCTGGAGGTTGGATCCTGGTGGAAAATGGCAGGAGAGAGAAAGGGAATGAGGTCTAAGGTGATGGAAAGAGGCAGAACAGGGCTTGGTTGCATTTTGGGTGGAGTCTTGGAGCAGGAGGAGTATTTCTGCACAAGGAGCAGCTAACCTTTGTCTCCAATGTCAGAGCTCAGTGTCTACGAACTACTCCTTAGTAGTCACTGGCTCTGGTCTCTCCTTTCCTTTTCTCTCTCTTTAGTGCCCGATGAATCCGAAGTTTTAAGAATGAAGTCAGAGAAGGTGTGTGGCCTGCTGGACGAAGGACAAGGTAACTATGACTGAATCCCAGGTTTTAAATGACCAGTTCCCTGGATAACTCATTATGTGAAGGGAGGAGAGGCCATACACCCGAGCCCAGCCTCTGGCTCCTTTCCAAGGTGTGAGGGAGGCCCGCATGTGGGGTGAGTCCCGAAGGGCCTAGGGGATGAAATTTAAAGAGAACCCAAGAGTAGGTGCCTCCTTAAATTAGGCTCCTTAGGCCTCTTACCTGCTTCACCCTATCCCTGACCTGGAAGCAAGAGAGAAAGGGGAGCTGAAGTCTTTACTGGAGGACAAGGATAGACAGATGGATGGATTGGGCAGTCCAATGGGAGTTATAGGAGCAAGCACAGTTTTACCTAAATGGACATGAGATCCAAAATTCTCCCATAGAGAGGTTTCGCAGGGAGATAGCTTTATCCTACTTGCCAGAAGTTGTCACAGGAACATGGAAATAATGTGCGTGATGGTCAGATTTGCCAGTAAGTGGGATCACTGGAGAAGACACTAGAGGTAGAGGTGGGGAAGAGGCCCTGAGGATGGGTCAAAGCCCAGTGAGAGACTCGGAGTGATGGAGGGATGCAACCTTTGAGATGAGGACAACGTGCAAGACAAGGACTGGAAGCCTAGAGGCAGGCAGAGGGTCCAGGCAAGCCTGAGAGAAACAGAGACAGAGGAGGACAATTTACACCAGGGATAGTGACAAAGATAATATGGAGAGAGAAACAGGGGACAAAGCAAATGCTGATAAAAGAGGAAGTAGGGGAAGGACAAAACAAAACCCTGAAGACAAAGTGTTCAGTGGGAGTGAATGGAATGTTGCTGGAGGTCAGTGTGGGAGAGAGGAGACATGGTGGGATATTTAGCATCAAGGGGAGGTCACCGCACAGAAGCTTCTGCCGCAGGGGGTCATCCCTGCTAACAGTAAATTTTTAGAACCCTGAATGCTGGACCCATATGTTGGCAAACATTACATTACTGATGTATTTGTATGGACGGTTCTATGAAAACAGTTCTAAGAAGTGTATTTATGTAGACATGTACTAAGCCACCTTTGAAAAGGACACAAGAATAAACACAAAATTCAGCCAAGATAATTTCCAGTGAGTGAATGAGAGTAGCAGGTTAAGAGAAAAGAGGAAAAACAAAAAGGTAGATTTCAGGGTAAAGAGGAAAACCCTGGAGAGATGGAAAGAGGACATCGAGGTCCTGACACAGAGAGAGGCAGGAGGCGAGCAGGCGAGAGGCAGCAGGGAGGTGGGGGGGACCCTCTCAGGTGGAGTGGGGAGAGAGGAGACAGCTGAGGGTTCTTTCTGGATCATTACATATTCCAGGGGCAGAGCTCTTCCAGGTACAAACTTCTAGTACAATCTTGTGCTGGGGGGCTGGTGGATATACAGAAGACAATTGCATCTTGTCACCTCAAAGTTAACCAAGAAGGCCAGCCAGCAGGGACAGCATACGTCCAAGCACCTGAAATAATCAGGAAGGCTGGTGGAAGGAGTCTGATGTGGTGACACCGTGTGTGTGTCTCAGCAAAGGTGTCAGGAGGCGGCCTAGGGAGGACGGGATGCATGCAGGAGAGGGAGACCCTGGTGCTCAGTGAAGGAGCTCTTGCCTAGCAGAAGAGAGTTGGGGGTGAAGTGGAAAGGTACTGCAAGGGGGCACTAAAGAGATGTGTAGAGCAAGATGGCAAGAGGAGATGAAGGGACAAAGATGCGTCAGGCTAGAGGAGGCAGAAATGGAGAGTGCTAAAGAGAATGTGCTGAGCTGAGAGCAGAAGGAGGAGGTATGAGCCACAAGAAAGAGAAACAGAGGCAGGGAAATGGGAAGAGGCATCTGCAAGGGGAAGAAGAGAAGGAGTGGTCAGAAAATGGAGAGCAAGACGATCAGAGCTGGCCACTGGGGTCACCTATCCTTACAAAGCATCCAGGGAGAGTGACGGGAGCACCATTAACCTGCAGGCCCCCGGATTCCGTGAGAAGACCATCTGGAGCAGGGACATTCCTGCCTACAGCTGACCCAGCAGCCAGGGCTTTGCTGGTGTCTCCTTATGATGGGGTTCCCTGCTGGTTCCTTGGCCCCACATTGAGATCCCTAAGGGGTTTTGTTTCTCTGTGCAGTAGTCAGCAGTGAATCCAGTGAGGAGGAAGAGCCCCCAGCAGCTCTGAGCTCAGCACAAGGACGAGGGCTGGAGGAGAAGGGTGAGGATGGCCAGCTTTGGGCTGCAGACCATCATGTGTCCGAATTCAGAGCCCCCGCTTCCTGACGTGTTGTACTTTGAGTGCGCTCTACAGCCAATGATCCTGTCAACGCTGTGAACACATTCTCTGTATTTACCTCATGTGCCATTTTGGGAAATGTGGGAGACAAGGTCCTAGTCACTAAATATGTGTGTTGATATATAAAGGTTAGAGTAGAAACAAACTAGCATTATTTCTGTTGTTTGTTTGTTTTTCCTTCCACATGATCATGCCTATTGTGGTATAATAAAAAAAAATAGGTATTTGTCTTTGTCCCTAGTTCCTGGCACAGAGCTCCCCAAACCCTTGGAATTTCCCCAGTGGTAAGAGTGTCCCTATGACAATTAGAGGGTTAGAACTCGACCTCTGTGGAGAAAAAAAGAGGTGGGAGATTAAGTTCAATCACCAATGGCCCATGATTTAACCAATCATGCTTACACAATGAAACCTTGGTAAAAACCTCTGAACAATGGGGTTGGCAGCCCCTGACTTTGTAAATACATTGATGTGCTGGGAGGGTTGCATGCTGGAGAAGGTGTGGAAATCCTGGCACACCCCACCTCCATACCTCGCCCTATCCATCTCTTCCATTTGGCTGTTCTTGAGTTGTATTCTTTATAATAAAACTGTAATCATAAGTAGAGCACTTTCCTGAGTTCTGTGAGTCATTCTAGCAAATTATTGGACCTAAGGGGCCATCATGGGCACCCCCAAGTTTATAATTGGCTGGGCAGAAACATGGGTAGCTTGGAGACCCCATTTGTAGCTGGTGTCTGAAGTGGGGTCAGTCGTGTGGGACTGAGACTTTGCCCCGTGTGGTCTGGGCTAACTCTGGGCAGTTAGTTCAGGACTGAATTGAATTGTTCAACACTGAGTTGATATTGAAGAGCTGGAGAATTGTTTGGTGTTGGAATGACCTATTTATCATTGGAAAAGGCACCACACAGTTGGTGTCAGAAAAAAGCCCACACACCTATTCATACTGATGTCTTCAATGTAGGTATTGATTTCTGCCTTAACTAACCTCTATCATCTGTAGATCACCAAAAAAGGTAAGTAATTTTTGATTGCTTTGATACATATATTGTTATTGGAAACTTGGAAAGACCCAAAAAGTCCAAATAAGTCTTTTTGACAGGTGTTCTCCATCATGCCATTAGCTTATATACAAACTTTTCCAAAAATAATTTGGCAAATATTATCTCATAATTTGAAAACATCAGTAAGGAGTAGGCAGAATAACTATTACTTTTATCCTTGTTATAGATGAGAAAACTCTAGCCCATAACTGTTTAAGAGTCTTTTCCCAAATCATATGGAGAATTAAAGGCAGAGCCACGACCATTGTCTTGGATGCTCACATCTCAATTCAGCAGATGTGTTTCCTTCAGAAGGAAGAAGGGGAAGAAAACCAATCAGACACATCTGCCAGTGTTAGTTGTTACAGGATTTATAACTTTTATCAAGCAGTTCTGTTTCTCTTCCATGGATTTTATGAACAAAACTGATTTGAAAATATGCACTAGGTGTAATAACAAATAAGATAACTTAACGTCAAAATGCACATTTTTTCCCAACAAAAGATTCATTTTAATTGTTTGCTATATTTTTTGTAAGTAATAAAACTGAATTTATTTTTTTAGGGAGTTCCCACCATTTAACCAACGTGTAATGTCTTGAGCACTAGAAGTCTATTTATTATTCATGGAAAAAATGCCAACAGGTTCTGGGCTGGCAAGGGGGTTGAGTGAGACTGGGGCAAGCAGGGAGGAGGGGAGAGGGCTCTGATCCACATACTCTCTGGGATCCATCTTCCAGTGTTGCCCTGGGCAAGCAATAGAGGCAGAGGAAGTGGGTAGGGATTAGTTGGAAGGATAAGAAGTAGAAAAGAGAGGTGTTAGGAAAGCTAAAGCAAGATATAGCAAAACGGCCCAACTGCCCAATTTTCTCAGCTCCTGGTCATGGCAGCTAAAAACAGTGTTAACCAAGGGGCTGTGTTGAATTCAAAGAACAGACTGGAGTGCCGGGAGTTTCATGACCTTCCCTGGTCTTTCATAGTTTTCCTAAGGAATTTCCTTCTCTATTGGCTTCTTGGCTGCACACTAGTGGTCTGATTGCTCTGTAGAGAGAGCAGCTGTGCGTGGAAGGGAGGGCTGCAGAGGAGACCAGGAGCCTCAAGGTTACCACCTGAAATTATCAGTAGGATTCAAAGGGACTCTGGAGCTTTAAGGAACAGAGAATCATATAGTTGGGAAAAAGGAATGTCCAACTAAGATTGCTAAATTAGATATACAACTGGTTAACTTTCTATAGAAGAATAAAGGAATACCACCTTTGCAGTTAACTTCTCTACCAGTCTAGAAAGTTATAACAGTGTATTAGTTCCGCAGTTTACCTCTAACCTTACCAGCCTATTAATTGTCCAAGCCTCTCTAAGTTGTAAGTTGTTAATCAAATGTATTGTAATATTCTCCCCGAGTGGCAGATTAAGGTCAATAAGGCGATGAAGAAAAATTATCCACACTTGGCAATAAGGCAATAAAGCAAAGGGTTACGTGTCCCGATTACATGTTAACTTACAGATTTTTGTCCAGTAGAGATGCATATGATTTGTTTGGTAGAAAAGATAATGCCAAAGATTATGGATTTATTGCCTTATTAACAAGTTTGGGCTCTAATTTAGGAAACTTATTTCAGCCAGCATGCCTTTCCTGGCCAACTTTATAAACCTCTCTTCCTTGAATTCTATGTTGGTGGATCACACACACTGCAATTAACAAGGAAATTCATTCATTTATTCAGAGAACATCAGTGACAACTATTTGAAAACAAACGGAAAAGAGAACCAGGAAGCTTCTAGCTCACCACCAAAAATTGTGTCAGATATGGTGTACAAGTCTTGGGTTTGAGGATTTTAGGAATCTGAACCCAGAGCTACTTTTTCCTGATGCATTTTATTCTGAGCACCAAACACATGAAAATGAATCAGTGATATTAAAATCCCATTCTCTGCATTTTCTTTTCTTACTATGTGTGCAAAGACATAAGGAATCATTATAAATTCATATTGAATAGTATAAGCACTGTTGATTTCTGAATAGATGTGCTCATATTTTGATGTTGTAGAAATATGTTCATAAAATGAGAGCTTTTTGATTAGCTATTCATGGCTATTTAATACTGAAGTCTTGAATTTATATGGTGTTTCCCACCTATTCTGTTCCATCTCTTTATCTTTTATGGAGCACAGAATGCTAATTACTCCTCTCCTGGGTAATAATATTGTTATCATTTCGTCAAAAATCCTGAAAAGCTCCAAAGTCCTGCTTTCTAATTACCCTCAAAGAGAAAAAAAAAAAAAGGAGTCAGACAACCACTGGCAAAGTCAGATTTAGATTCTGATGGACGTCCTCTAGCAAGTTATCCTGATTCAGTCAGTTTAAGATTCCCAGGGACAAACAAGCCTGTATTCCAACAGATTTATAGACTCATTACAACAAGGGAGAGGAACATACACAAGAGAACCATGGACATTGCACCAAATGAAGACATAGAGTTATTATACAGTTTGGGAAAGGGTGGAGTTGAAGTATAGTTTATAGGATGCAGTTATTTGATAGGTTCAAACCAAGCTGGAGTTGTGTGAAGATCAGGTCTGGATTGTGAAGTGGACCCAGGGTCCTATTGCTGGAAAATCACAAAGTTATGAAAATGTGGAATGTTGTCTTTGGAAATCCCATATTGGAAGCTGTGCCCCCTGGATTGGAAATCAAGATTCCATCTCTTTACCAAAAGAACTTAGACCGTCCAAGCAAGGGTGAGATGTTTTATCCTTGCTAATATCATTTCACGCAGCAAGTTTCCGATAGTGTGCGGATTTTGACAACAAAGTTCCTCACTGAGTGAGGAAGCACTAGTCATTCAAAGAAGGGTTGTTAGGACATTTTACAGCTGCGGCAAGTTCTTAGGAGAATGTTTCCCATTAAACTTGCAGCTGGCTTTCTCCGTTTCTGTTATTCCAGCCTCATGAATGGCAGGGCAGATTTTTGCTATCTCAGACTGAGCTAATTTCTCCTTTCTCAATGCCATTGAGTATGTAGTGGTTTATCAAAGGACTTTGCAAAAAGAATCTTATTTTAACTTCATCACAATCATGAGGTGTAAGGCAAAACAAATGTTGATAGCTCTGTTTTATATGTGAGGAAACCAAAGAACACACATTTAAGGTTCTCCGCTCCTTCTCTTTCCATAATGCCAAATAGCGAATTAAAAGAACAACTAGAATTATCATCCTTGATTTCTAGAACTCAATCCTATAGCTCTTTCTTTTCTTTAGAAAGGTAGAGAGAAATGATAATCAACATGTCTCAATCCTGACTGTGAGTTGTGTGAAATGTCAAGATTTAGCACTTTTCAATGTACAAATTACTGTTCTCCTCTCATGTCTCATAGACCCCATGGATATTGGAACCACTTTTACTCTGGGCATACATGTTAGAAGAGAGATATGTGCAAATCAGAATTCTTGGTATGCAAATGAATCTTTAACAACATTTCTACAAAACATTAAATCCAGTTGTTTGCTGGATGATTCAAAAATAGGATAATAAATTTTAAAGAGTCCAGATTCATCTTTTTTATTAAAGAGGGCTGTCTGTTATATGAGATACAACCAGAACATTCATAATTGCTAAAAGAGAAGTTTCTTTTTCTTTCTTTCTTCCTTTTTTTTTTTAAAGATTTTATTTATTTATTAGAGAGAGAATGAGAGAGAGCACATGAGAGGGGGGAGGGTCAGAGGGAGAAGTAGACTCCCTGCCGAGCAGGGAGCCCGATGCGGGACTCGATCCAGGGACTCCAGGATCATGACCTGAGCCGAAGGCAGTCGCTTAACCAACTGAGCCACCCAGGCGCCCTTCCTTTTTTTTTAAGTAGGCTCTACACTCAGCAGGAAAGCCCAAGTCAGGGCTTGAACTCACAACCCTGAGACCCTGAGATCAAGAGTCAGACATTTAACAGACTGAGCCACCCAGGTGTCCCAAGAGAAGTTGTTTCTTGCTTGCAAGAATGATCTCTGTGGTCTTCCAGGCCATGACTACAAGGAGGGGTATGGGGAGATTGGGTGTGGATCAGTGTCCACTCCGGTTTACAGAGGACACGCAAAAGTGAGGTCATCAAAAATACCAGCACTCCCAGAGAATGTTCTTCTCACTGGTTTTGTAAAGGGAATGTCCTCTGGGCTCATCTAGATGACAAGCCATATGGCATGTCTTCAGGCATGTCTTCATGTGATATACCCATGTGAACATTCCTACCTCTCTGAGTCTTCTGACCCCTTCTTTGGTACTATGCCAAGGCTTTGGGGGCATCTCCACCTCATTTGCTAAATGCCATCCTTTTGTCCAAGCTTCAAGGAGCCAGTTCAGGCATAGACAGGACCAGCCCCAGATGCCCTTGCCAGTGCCTTCTACACCCTGATCAGAGGAGAGGACTTCCATATCAATGGAGTCTCCATTCTCCAGTCTTATATTCTACCCTTCCGGGTCCTACATCCCCAAAACCCACTCCTACAAGTGTTTCTCTCTTGTTTCCAATATACATTAGCC